ATCTGGGGGTGATGGGAGACAGTGGCAGATCGTCAGTCATTAGATTATCTTAAGAAGCACGAAACCTGGATCCCTCACATGCGCAGTTCATAAACAGGTTCAAGCTCCTATGAGAATCCAGTGCCATTGGTGATCTGACAGGAGGTGGAGCTCAGGCGGTAAGTGAGTAATAGAAAATGGCTGTAAACACAGATGAAGCTTCGCTTGCCTGCCCACCACCCACCTCCTGCTGTGTGGCCAGATTCCTAACAAGCCACAGATTGATTTCGGTTGCAGACCCCTGGCTTAAACAAGGGAAATTTATCTTCTTACAGTTCTGGAGGCTGGAAGGCTGGAAGTCCAAGACCACAATGCTTGTAGAGCTGGGTCCTGGCCCTCCTCGGCTTGCAGATACCACCTTCTGGCTGTGTCTTCACATAGCCTTCCCTCTGTGCCCACACCCTAAGAGAGAGAAAAAGAGAGAGAGAGTGTGCTAGAGAGATCTGAGCTCTGATATGTCTTCCTCTGTTTATATGGACACCAGTCCTGTGCGGCCCCACACTTATGACCTCGTTTAAGCTTAATTGCCTCACTGAAAACCCTTTTTCCAAATATAGTCGCATTGGTCTTTAGGGCTTTAGCATATGACTTGAGGGGAACACAGTGCAGTCCACCACACACCTTCAGGACTATTCCAGTGTCTCCTATTTAACCCTTAAGATCTCTTCTTCCCTTCTCTCCACAAGCTCTGTGCATGCGGACACTGATCTCTATGGGTTTTAATGAGGTTTGGCCAGTGGGGTATGCTGGCCAGAAATTAGAATGTAAGACGGGGAGACTGGGGGCTCAGGTATACATTCACCTGCCCCTAACCTGCAGGGCCAACACAGGCTAGCGTGTCCACTGACCAACTCTGATTAACCCCTCTGTCACCAGCTCCAGTGACTCCCCTCTCTTTGTGCCCCTTCAGACGTAGAAGTGGTTATTGACCCCACACTGTCCTTTGAGGTTTTCCTTCACCATGCTCAGTTATAAAACAATTCCCTCAAATTATTTGTTCCAAACAAGGACATCACCTCTGTCTGGAAGGGACATTTTCAGGGCAGCAGCAACCTACTGTCCTCTCAACTCAGGACTCTCTCAACCCAGTAGATCCCCAAAGCACCCCTCAGCAATGCCATTGCCCCTCCTTATTGGTGTCTTCCGTGAGTGATGCCAGAATAGAATGACCTGTGTTCACACTTCTAAGTGAGTCCCCCCTCAGGGTGGGATTTCAGGGAACTTGGGGGTTGGAAACTACATCCTACCTCTTGGGGGCAAGGCATACATCTATTCTTTATCAGTTCTAATACTACTGCCAAGTCTAGAAAGGACTTGAGTGCTGGTCTGCTCTTACATTCTAAGGCCAAGCTGCAATGAAGTCATGGGAGATTTGGCCAGAAAGGGTACAATAACCACTAGCCTTCTTTTTACCCAAAAGAAGACTGTTGTAAGGATTAATAGCTCAGGCTGTGGCTCCAGTCAGTTTTCAAGGTCTGGCATTTTCTTTTTTTGTTATTTGTTTAGAGACAGTCTTTCTCTGAGCCCTGTTGCCTAGGCTGGACTGCAGTGGTGTGACCATAACTAACTGCAGCCTCGACCTCTTGGGCTCAAGTGATCCTCTCACCCCAGCCTCCCTAGAAGCCAGGAATATAGGCGCATGCCACCATGCCTGGCTAATTTTTTATTTTTTTTCTTAGAGACAGGGTCTCGCTATGTTTCCCAGGCTTGTCTCTAAGTGCTGGGTTTACAGGCATGAGCCACTGCACCCAGCCCGTTAATGAGCAGTTCTGAGAACCAGTTTGCTCATCTGTAAAACGATGATAATATAAACTTGGATCGTGCAGAGTAATGTTTGTACAGTGCTTGGCACGTAGAAGGTTTTTTAGAAATGTCAGCCTCTGTTGTTTTTAGTACACAGTGGACCTTCTATGGGTAAAACCCCTTTTGGCCATAACATGAAAAAATTATCTCTTAAGAATTGACTCTGTGTTTTCCCTCTTAGTAGAGGAATTAAAGTTCTTGTTTCTTTTTATTAAAGTAAGACATGGCCATAGAAGATTGATATTAAAAAAAAAAAAAGCTTTTCTGATCTTACAATACAGGATAACTTCAATTACATTTTCACATTATGGTATGCCTCTAAATTTATGCATATAGACTGCTGTACACACACACTTTTTTGTCTTTCCTTTTTTTTTTTTTTTTTTTTAAAGATACAGGGTCTTGCTCTGTCACTCAGCCTGGAGTGCAGCGGAGCAATCGTAGCTCACTGCAGCCTTGAACTCCTGGCTCCAAGCAATCCTTCCACCTCAGCCACTGAAATAGCTGAGACTAGAAGCATACACCACCGCTTGGATATTTCTTTTTAATTTTTTGTAAATATGTTGTGTTGCCCTGTTGCCCAGGCTGGTCTCTAACTCCTGGCCTCAGGTGATCCTCCTGCCTTGACCTCCCAAAGCACTAGGATTATAGGCGTTGGCCACTGCACCCAGTCTACACACATTTTTTCCTAAACTGAGACTATGTTATATCATTTTGTATCCTACGTTTATAACTACATTATCACAAAAATGCTTCCTAAATATTTTCTTATTAAATATTCTTTAAAATCAAGTTACTTTTTAAAGATAGTTTAATTGAATTTTATTCATGGGCACACTGTCATAATTTTACAAATACACACACACACACACACACACACACATACACACACGTGCTTGTAACATATATGCCTTTTAGTTGCGTTGTGAGTCTTTGTCTATCATCTGTTATGGTGCTGTTTAAATCAGGTGGGTTTTTGCACAATCCCATATATTCTATTGACCTGTCAGGTGAGGCCCAGTGGGACCCTGATTTTTGCCTGTAACACAGCCCCTCAGTGTCTGATAGAGAGGGAACATATTGATGATGACATTCTTTCTTTCCCTCTGGTATGTTGTTCTGTCTCTGAGGTCTAGACATAGTTTCTCAGTCTGACCACCCTCACCATAGCGATGCATAATCCCTCCTAGAGATTATCCTAGCATTGAACAAGATTCTTAGTTTGTGATGGCTTGGTGATTACTGCACCTTTCTCTCTATTTCATGAATATTTTGATGAAATGTTAAGGGATGGTAAACCAGGCCCAGCTGTCGAGCAGCAATAACAACTGAAAGTTTATCCCCCTCTCTCTTCATGAATATTTCCAATTCCTGGGTAATCATAAAGCATTTTTTCCAAGTTCAAGTACAAAAAGAAATGTATGATCAGGTCTGTCAAATCATGTCATAAATATTCCATTCCTTGAAGAGTCAAGGTCAGGAAGAGTTTATCACAGATATTCTAGACTTTGTTGTCTCTTTTTTTTTGGCTCTTTTTCCAGAAATTCTAAGAAAGCATCCCCCAAATTTTCCTTCCACCTGGGGACCAGAAAATTAGGGCCTGGAAGGAAGAAAGTCTCTGCCATCACTAGCTTTGTGACTTTGGTTCTCACTTCCTAATAGAAAATAATGGATTTGGCCTTGATGTCCTCCAATTTGCCTTCTAGCTTTAAAATGGCACAATTTCTTAGAGATTCAGCTATAGCTATTCCCAGAAATACTCTCCATTTTGGCTTAATTCTGTTTTCTCCTGAAGACATCAGCTTATAGTCACTTCACTGTGTATGTCTATATTCTACTTTTCTTCTATTCCTTAATTATTGAGAACTTTAAGAAAGTTTTTTTTTTTTTTTTTTTTAGACAGAGTCTCACTCTGTCATCCAGGCTAGAGTGCAGTGGTATGACCTTGGCTCACTGCAACCTGCACCCTCCACCTCTCAGGTTCAAGCAGTTCTCCTGCCTCAGCCTCCCGAGTAGCTGAGATTACAGGCATGCACCACCACACCTGGCTAATTTTTGTATTTTTAGTAGAGACGGAGTTTTCCATGTTGGACAGGCTGGTCTTGAATTCCTGACTGCAGGTGATCTGCTCATCTCTGCCTCCCAAAATGCTAGGATTACAGGCATGAGCCACCATGCCTAACCAAGAAATTCTTTTAGTTATTTTTAGCTACCAAGCTTTGGTATGAAGAATGTGACACTGTCTTCTAGCATTCTAAGAAAATGTTAATAGATCTATGGTCAAATATGTTTGGAAAAATTACATTAGACTGTATCCTGCTTTTAGAATTTTACAGTAAGCATTCATTTATTAAAGGTGCTTAGAAGTTTTGCAATAAAGAGGCTCACTTAATTTTGTTTAACTCAGGGATTCCCAAACGTATGTGATCTTGAAATCCTTTTATTTATGGTAGCATCCATTAACATCCCTCAGTAATTAGTGCCCACACCACTCATGGGAAGATCAGTTCTATAGAAAGAAGTACTGTTAGTACTTGCTTCTGACACTCACCAACAGTGTGATTGAGCATGGAGGTATAACCTCTGTATAGCTCATGTTCCTCAGATGTAAATGAGGGTGCATGATAGCACCCAATTCATGGCAGTTGTGAAGATTTTAAACAGTAGTGCATAACTATGGTAATTACAACTAATAATATCCCAACTCATATCTCACTGGGTTCAAATTTTGGCCCTACCACTTACTGTTTATGACCTTAGGAACATTACTTAAATTCCTTTTTAAGAAAAGTTTTAATTTAATTACTTAACTTCTGTACCTCAGTTTCTCCACAGCATAATAGAGACAGGAATTGTGCCAGCCTCACAGGATCGTTGAAAGAATTCAATCCAGTTCATGTAAAACTCTTTGACTTGTGCTTGGTCCATAAATATTAGCCATTATTATTGTCATTATGTGTGCTCCTGTCACTTTTCTGACCGTTCTAGTCTATAAGACCAACTCTTCTTACTCCACTCCCAAAAGCTGCTTAAGCCCCCAGCGTATTAAGATAGCAACACACCCCACCTGCACATACTCAGTTCGGCTCAGTGGATTCTGACCCTCTTCATTTAGAGTCATTTCACACCATCATTTAGCTTTCTCTGTTTGTGAACAGGGGCGGAGAGGCCTCGGCTCTGTGTTTGTTTGGGCATCTGGAAATGGCGGAAGGAGCAAAGACCACTGCTCCTGTGATGGCTACACCAACAGCATCTACACCATCTCCATCAGCAGCACCGCAGAAAGCGGAAAGAAACCTTGGTACCTGGAAGAGTGCTCATCCACGCTGGCCACAACCTACAGCAGCGGGGAGTCCTACGATAAGAAAATTGTACGTGCCATGTGCATGCCATCACGATCTGTTTATTTAATGTTCACTTCGAAATACAAAGGGAGAACCATAAACATACATACACAAGTAATATATGGAAATAGAAAATTAGATTCGTTGATAACATCAGAAGTCGTAAACATTACTAATTGAAAATGCTTGTGCAGTCATCACATTGCAACATTTAATGCGGCCTCAGACGTGATTAAGCTTCAGTTTTATTGAGGATAAATGATTGGTTCACATTCACATTGTGAGTTAGTGACAGAGAAGAGACTGGAATCTATGCCTGACTCAGCCCTGGGCTCCTATCACTGTGTTTCCACACTGACTTTTAACTTTAGCTTTAGTGCTTTGGTTTCTAAGTACAGCCAATTCAGTGTGAAAAACAAAAGTGTGTAAGGAAACTCAGAATTCCATTGAAACTATACTTACTTAACATGAACTAAACTTCTATAAAAGGTGCAGTTTTTTTGTTTGTTTGTTCTTGTTTTTATGATGTTGATGACGAAGTCTGTTGCCCAGGCTGGAGAGCAGTGGCGTGACCTCGGCTTACTGCAACTGCTGCCTCAGGGATCCAAGCCATTCTCCTGCCTCAGCCTCCCGGGTAGCTGGGACTACAGGGGCCCACCACCATGCCCAGCTAAGTTTTGTATTTTAGTAGAGACAGGGTTTCATGATGTTGGCCAGGCTGGTCTCAAACTCCTGAACTCAAGTGATCCACCTGCCTCGGCCTCCCAAAGTGCTGGGATTACAGGTGTGAGCCACCACAGCTGGCCAAAAAGTGCATTTCTTATAGACAGCACAAAGTTTGCCGGGTGGAGAAGCACAGAAGCTGCATGGGATCCCCCGTTTACCAACATATCCTGTACTCTAGGCAAACAGCCAGTGTGATTAAGAGTTCAGGTGGCAGGCCCAGCCTGCGTGAGTTTCTTTCACTCTTGAGCTATTTGCTAGTTGAGTAATTTTGGACAAATTAATCTGTCTGTCTCAGCATACTTATTTATACAAAGAGGACATTTAGTAGCACAGAGTTCATGGAGTTATTACAAAATAATGAGGAAGGCAGTAAAAAGTGCTTAGCACAGTATCCGGCCCTTCAGTGCTTATGAAAGCTCTAACTTTTCGGGGGTGCCCAGCACTGTGCTGCTGATTATAAATTTCACACACCTTTGCACTTTGCCCTTTGCCCTTTTTCCTGATCATGATTTTGTAAACGGTCTCTGGATTTGTCTTTTTAAGGTAGAGCTAAGATGCTGTACCTGACATTTTTTAGCGCTTAGCCAAGACCCTGCTTCTGGCTCTAACAGATCTACGCAGGTTGGGGTCACTCTACTGGTGCTCCCTCTGCCTTTCCCACAGTCCATAGGGGATAGGACTGTACCTCCTTTGTGCAAGTCTTAATCCACATCCATTCTATTCCTCTTGATTCCTGGTTACTATATGATTTTTCTGTTTCATTTATCAGTTACTTTTTACTACCTTCTTTAGTTACATTTTGTAGATGGATTTAGGTAAAAATTGCCTCCCCATATTAATATCCCCCTCTTTCCCTAATTGCTCCACAGTGTCTGGGTTTAAATATATACACCCAATTCTACCTGTCAGTACCTCCAACATTCATCAATAAGCGTAACTCCGAAGCAGCAAGTAAAATATAAAAGGCGAAAATGCAGAGATGAGCTTTGCATTTGAAGTTTCTGGCTTCCTTAACTGGAACGGGGTGCCCCAGTGAAATTTTGCCTCCGTTAGAGAAATGTTGTAATCTAGAAATATCTCTCTGCTTTTAAATAAGAAGACCTTGTGTCTTCTAACTCATGGTCAACGTCCATTAGCACGGAGTGACATCCGTCAGCCCTGCATCATGACATTCCTGATGACAACTCTGGAATAAGAGTTCTCGTTTTTTACCTCTGGAGTTTGAAATCATCTTAAGGCAAACTCACTATTGCTTCAAATTAATTATGCCCATTTAGTCAGTCCTATTATTCTCCGTGGGGTGATTGCTGTGGGGAGGGTATTGTTAACATTTATCAATGCCTTCTGTAAGAGAAGCATATAGTCTCATGGTAAAAATGTCAAAGAAGTAGGAAAGGTTGTTGCGGTCCAGATGGGAGAACGCAGTGTGTACAGAGGGACTGCAGAATCACTGCTGGGAGGTTTACTCTCTAAACCTAACCTCCTGGGGTCTTCACCATTATTTGTTGTGGTTGTGTGGTTGCTACTGTGACTCCCATGGCAGGGGTGTCATTTCAGATTCTCCCACGGATAGACAAATTGATCCATTCTGTGGGCAGGGAGAGAGCTTCCCAGGGAAAGTGGACGCCATGACGAAATGTTAATATCGTTTCGTGAGGTCATATACTTTTCCCCAGTTTTTGCTTATGGTTTCAAAGCTTTCTGTGACTCACTGTATGTATTTAACTTAATTTGTTTCTTCCTTTTTGTTTAATGCCTTTCTTCCGTTTTTGTGAGATTATATTAGTCAATTTTCTCTAGCTAGTTCTTAGATTCCCTTACTTTGCCTGAATTCCCAAATTACCCCCAGTTGGAGAGGAAATTTGGAAGCTGTTTGTATTAGTCTCTAGCTTCAGAGAAACCACTCAGTGGATAAGCAACCCTCACGGAGTCTTGATTGCCTCGTCTGTAAAATGGAGATGATACCAGCGCTGACCTCAGAGATTTCCATGAAGATAATAAAATACTGACCAGGTACCTGGTTCCTGGTCCACAGGAGCAGCTCAGTGCATGCTCAGCCGCGTTTTCACCTACGGTCCTGTAACTTTCTGCATCCTGGGAGGTTAGGGCGTTTTTCCAGCTGCTGTTAAGAGGGTTGCTTGTTGCACCTCAATCTTTCCAATCTGTAAAACTGTGATCTGTTCCACCCATCCCATAAAGAGAGACACTCTGATCAGGAACATGTTAACAGTTTGAACATGAATGGCGTTGGCAGCAACGTCAGCCTTTTATGGTCCAGCTGACCCCTTTTCCTTCTAGATATCAGAATGACAAATCATCCTGTGTTGCACCTGGGACCTTTCCTTCACCAGGCTTTGAACCCAGACGCCTTTGGTCCCTCGGTGATGCCCGCATCCTGTTAGTGGCGTATGTGATTGAGTGCTACAGGAATGGCAGTGCCTGTCTTTGTACTAGGTCCCCTTCCCTGAGACATTCATTTCCTTTTGTCATCTGCAGCCTCCCCAGAAGAGCACAGTTGTCATTCTTCATTCATAGAGCACCTTTGTGATTTGTATCAAGACAGTTGCTGAGGATCTGAGGAGAGACGGAAAAAAATCTCCTCTCTGCTTCTGGGAAAGCATTTTTGTTAAATAAATTGTACTTGTTATGGACAAAATGACTTTTCATGATACGCAAACAGGAAAGCCTTGCCCTGGGTTTCAAAACATAAGGAAGTCCCTGTCCCTTGGTTTCCTGCCATTACTTCTAGCACAGTTGTGGACCTTGGTATTGCGTTCATGCTTTAGTAGATTTGGATCAGCAATGGCCTATATCTTATTACAGCAAAGGAAGCATTCAAAGTATAAAGATTACAATGAAAGAAGCTCTTTCATAAGCTAAATAGAAGTCATTTAAAATGACTAGTTATTTTAAAGTCATATAATGAAAGAATGTTTTTATGAACATATTTGTTCACATTGTATTACATGTCTCACATGTAATACATTTATATATTAACGTGTTGAAAATCTCACATTTTTTGCCCTTCTGATTTGTGCCTGACACTGCGCTATGCACATCGAATGCAACATCTCATTGTATTGTTGGGAAACCCTATGCAGAAAGATCATGGTGCCCCCACTTTACAGATAAGAAAACTAAAGCTTGAAAAGTTAAACAAGCAAACAAAAACCACAGCTAATAAATGGTAGAGCTTGGATTCCAATCAAAGTGAGGATGGACCCCCAAACTCATCTTGTAACCAGTATGCTATCCCACCCTGATACGTCTTAGGGATATCCAGTATGGGGTTATGTGAGAGAATAGTGCTTTTCTTACCTATTTTGAGTTCTTTTCAGAGTCATGAAGAAGCATTTAGAATATATACATTTCCATGGTTTTTCACTAGTCTCCTCATTTTGAATTTCATTCCTTTACCCTTTTTCATACCCGCTCAGACAACTGAACCTCTTGCAAAAAACTCAAGCTGAGTTGCTAGTTCCTATGGCAGCAGAGTTAGCACTGAGCTCCCAAGGTTATGGCTTTTGTATGATGTTCAAACCAGGGCTCTCTGATGTGCAAAGTGCCCTCCGTTAGAACACTCCTCTACCAAATATCACTTCATTTTTGTCTCCTCTCAAATTTCGCCTCAAAGAGGATTTTCTTCATCACCTTTTCTAAAATAGGGGCACGCCCCTCCACCACTCTCTACCCGGTTCAATTTTTTTTTTTTCTAGTGCACTTATAGGTACTTCACATGGTGGTACATATTTTCTTACTTACTGTCTGTTTTTAATGCTACAATGGAAACTACTTGAGGATGAAGACCGTGTTTTGTTCCTTTCCAGAGTCTGAGCTCAATAAATATTCGTGCATAAATGACTAGCAAACATTTGGAAGGATGGAGGCTTCACAAGTTGTTTATATAGCTGCAAGAAGACAGGGAGCTGCTCTGTTTCTTTCAGAGAAACTTCTTCTATTGGTAGGTTGGTGAAAGTTAAACGTTATTTGACAGGATATTTAGCATAGAAAATTGCCAGCAGGAACCCTGCTACATGATAAAGCTGTTCATGTAACCTGTTTTTAGTGTCAAAAAGCCTAAAAGATCCCATCTATAACCCCTCACCTCCTCCTGACGTTTCTGTCAAGTTCTGTTTTATGAATAAGGCTCCCCTTCTCTCCAGTCCCTCCCATCGTTAAATTATCTCTTTCTTTTTGGACTTGTTCAGACTTTGACTTTTTTCCCCCCTAGTAATTTATCTTAGTGATTGGGACATGGGGTCTCTCAGATTCCTCCTGGGAGGGGTTCTCTGAGCCAGAGT